AATGGACACCTACAATGGACATATTAAGTTGTGACTTTCATATCTACTGAATTCATGGATTCTTGTGTTGGACTGATATGTACTTGTGTTGGGACCGTTTATACAGACTGTGATTTTGTATGGTACAGATCAGACTACTTCAAATACAACTTATTATACATGTACTCTTGTGTGTTATTGAGCATTGTTTTATTTGGTTTTTACCTTTTTATAATTTTAGTTTTTTGCTTTCATTTTTGAATCCAATTTTAGGTTATTTTTCTCCTACCCCTACTACAGGTTTGGGATATTTTAATTGGAGAACCACAGTTTGATTTACACTTTCAGTTATTCATGTTTTAAAATTTTGTTTATCATGCATATACATTTGTACATGTATTGTATATTTCTTGCCTTATTTGAAATTTTAACTATGCTTAATAAACTGTGGTTAGTTTTTCCCAAACCTGTCTTTGTTTACATTTATATATTATTTCACCATTACTTTATGTTCTGCTTGGTCACTGTATCCATGCCGGTTACCGGTGTGGTGTATCCAACCTTGATGTATAAGTTTAAGATAAATCAAGTGTTGGCAGGGAGGCAAAGAAGAAGTAATGCTGTGTTCTGGCATTGATATATGCTACTTTACATTGCATCTTATGATATCTACATATGTCATCGGGTGCTGCGTGTGCGTGGCCTAGGGTGGATGCCTGTATAAGGGGAGGGGGTCTCTTAATGTATCCTAAGAATAATTTAGATCAAAACAATTTAGGAAACCTGTTTTGCCTGCATGAACATCTTTGAGTAATTGGACATGGCTGATCAATAACCTCATACTCCAAAGTAATTGTAAACCCCTTTCTGGTTTAAACAGTGAACTTTCAAATTTATCATAATCCTGCCGGGAAAGTCCTTACTTCCATTTGCAATATCTGAGGTAGATTATTGGTTGGAATGTCATCCTCGATTCGTATCTGCTGCACCAGAGCAAACTTGTAAATCTCTTCCGTGTACATATTACGAAGTGTAGTTCTAATGATGTTAAACGACTTATACTCTTTTTGCTCCGTCTTCAAACAGGTTTTGTATTCCTCGAAGTTTGATTTTCTTATTTGATCCTTTTGCAGTTTTGTGTTTGTCGTCCTCCAGTTTGTACGCGAACATCTTGGCTAGCAGTCCGACAAATATGTCGTGTTCTTTCTCCACAGTTATAAGTGAACCAACCCGGACTTAACAAATTTACTCTTGGCATAGGAAATCATTTAATTTTAAAGTCATCTGTCTCGAATTTGTCAGTAAGTCAGTTTGTTTCAGTTAACAAGAGCCTTGCTTCAATACATATGTTGCAATGAAAATAGTGCATTTATTTCTTGGACAAGTCTAGAATCGAAATCCTAGGTGAATCACATTGTTCAACATAAGTTTCGTTTTCGTCAATGAGACCGCCACCAGTTTATTGGTAAAACTGGTTCTATTGTCGATATCTGGCTTTGCCACTATTTTAATTGCTTTTACGCAGTGTTCACAAACTTGACATCGACTCACTTTGTGATGTTCTCCGTCGTCTCACCAAAGCTTTATTTGAAGAACGAATAAAATCGACACTTCATAAATTTACCGTCACCACCACGAATTTGCTGACTGATACGATGTGTCGGTGTCTCAAATAACTACTGACATGTTCTTGCGGTATTAGATCTCTAGATGACATTGTAATCGTCTGATCTGTAATTATACCGATTGTGTCCTATTCCCGATTGTGACATATTGACAAAGTGCGGATTCACAAGACAGAGTATTATGCATAACGGGAGACGCTTACTCTGTCGACGCACCCGATCTCGCTCCCTTTGGAGATAGTGAGATTTCATAGGTTTTTGTTTGTTACCTTGGTTTGTCTCTTCTTCATCGATTAACGAGATTTGAACAAATTCGGTAAATCACTGTCACCTCAGTCATTCATGAGCTTAGAATAATTTTTTTTTAGGACGGACTCACTAGTGCTTTTTGCTCATAAACTATTATTCTTATCGTAATATTCCACGAACCATGCCCGTTGTCTGATTTCAATGACACTGTGCACTTTTGCGAGTTTCAGTGGCAAATTGATGTACTGTTGCCATGGCGTGTTCAGTTTATTATCGACTTATGATTTTGAATGTCCCTTTGCTATCTTTGAAGGATTTTGTAATGCCAAACGTACTTTTCCGCGTTGAAAAGTGTAAAAACTATTTTGTTCACCTTGTAATTTCCACTATTTGAAGTGGATATATAACGATTGCGGTTTTCGTCGAGTTCGTTTGGAAAGTCGAGATTGACCTCCAGCATGTACATATGTTCAGAATATTCATTGATAGTATCAATATTTGACATGTCTTCATACAGTCATCACAGATACCAGGATTAAAATTTTGTACAGGTAGACGAGCGTTTCGTCCACAAAAGACTTAACAGTGATGTTCGAATAAAAAAAGTTTATAAAGGCCAAATTAAGTACGAAGTCGAAGTGGACCCAAAATTCCGAAAGGTTTTGACAAAAAAGCTGACGTAACCTATACATGGGGTACAAAATCCTTAGTATTTCAAAAAAAAAATCAAAGTTTTGTAACAGTTAATTCATTATTATGACCATATCAATGGAAAGCTTGCGACATGGCACAATCCTGCTGGTCATTTGCATCGAAGTAAGTCACGTTTTTGTCGTAATCTTTTGTCGGCGATGCCCATTGTGTTCATATTCAAATTTATTTCCGCTTTCTATGGTCACCATAATCGTTCTGTTAGGCTCTTGAGCTGGTCTGCTGTAAGATGTTTAGATTAGTCATCCAACAACTGTGGTTAAAATCTATAGGAGTAAATAAAGCTCACTTCAATATCGTCTAATTTTCTTCGAGGAGATTATGTACTTCCCTTCCGTGTTTGTCATGCAGTCTATTCTACATTCGCTTACTTCCTTCACAAAAATAAGCATTACAGAAAAACATGCTGTGAAAGACAATGGGAAGACAGATCAATTTGAGTTTCCAATTCCGCAACATGCCGTAAAGAGGTTTATGAGGATATATTCACTTTTACATGAATACCACGATGCAGCACACTGTTTATGTAACCTTAACTTTCAAATGCCTAAATGTCTTCCCAGGAAACTATGATTGATCTAACATCGGCAGGTCAATCCACGTTTTGTTTTGACTCGGTTAAAGCTTTGTGGTCTACCTCATGAAAGTTCCTTCGGACGAGGAATACATGATAAACACTACAGATGCACTTGAATTTTTTTAGTCGATACACCAGGAAATTGTTTGAATACCCATCCAGTTCCTTCTCTCTGTTATGTAGTTATCAATTTTCTCCTTTAATCTTTTTAAATCATTATTATTAGACTTACCTCAATGTCACTCGGCGTTGCTTCAGTCATGGTGAACATTGAAGAATGAAAGTAAGAACATCTTCATTGTAGCTTAAAATTTTGTAAACAAAAGTTGTAGCTTATCTTTACACCTTCTTAGTTTGTTGAAGTGTCTCTCCGAACTCCACCACGATATAAGGCGTTTCCAAATACTCCATTCGTAGTTTTTCTGTTGTCAACAATCTTTAATTTTGCAAGAGTTGATTGGTATTGTTAAACTTTTTTCATGCGAGGCTATGCTGTAACTCCATGTTCTGCACGTGCTTTCACCGGATTCACAGTACCTTTATCTTTCCAAGTTTATCGTACGTTCGTGCTGTCCTTGATAAACTTCCCCACGTCGTCTTTCGTCAAATGCAAAAATCTATGTTATTAATCAAATTCTTGACAGGAGCTGTAAATTCAATTTCATTAAAAGTTTTAGACAGATTGTAATTTTTACTAGTACGATTGAATCTATGATGTTACATGAAATTTTTTGTTCATTCTGCGCCCCTATAAACTGTACAACTTTTGCGTTTTCGATATTCGAAAACACCCTGACACACTGTACCGCTTTGTGTATATTTAGATTGATTGATTGATTGATTGTTGGTAATTAACACCATTTCAGCACTCTTGACTATATCATGGCGGCCATTTTTAATTAGAGGAAAAATAAAAGAGTACCCGGGGAGAACCCTTTGATTTAGAAGATAAAGGAGTGTTCACCAATTTTTGGAACCGACGCGCTCTTTTGCCTTATATTTGTATAGAAAATTAGACGTTGCAAAGTGATAGTTTTATATTACTGACCCAGCTAATGTAAAACCTCATCAAAGATGCCATGGTTATAATTTAGTACCTCTGACGTGTATGTGCTCCAAATAAAACTTATTAGTGAGGTTCTAATCAAAACAATTGGAAAACTAAAACTTAAAAAAGGTGAAACAGCTTTTTATTATGACTGAAAATAAAAGCCAACATCTACATTATTAAGTCCCTATTGGTTTCTTAAAAAGAGCAAAGGCCAAAAATCTTAATATTTTTTTTTAATTGTGCAGTTGGTTTGCGGTCTGATTAATCTTATATTTGATTTTATTATTTTAAGAACTGTCATAGAAACTGAAGGTATAGATTACAAAGATTTAAACAATTTCCAAATTTTTTAAAGTTGAAACGGACAATTCTATACAGACTGCTGTTTATATTCAATATGTTCATAAAAAAGTTTCACTGTTAAAACGAGTGTATACATTTTACAAGTTGCATACAAAAGGAATCTCAAAATAATGTCTTCCACTAAGGGAAATACTTTGCAATATAATAACACTATGATCTTATGCATAGTTCTTTCCTATAGTATGATATATTGAAGAAATAATTGAATTTTCTGTATGTCATTTAAACTTCGATTATAAAACTGTTTATTATTTATTTCTATAGTGTATATTCATAAAGGTTTCTCTATTCAATAGTGATAACATTGATTCTTTTCAGTAACTTCCATTTACAGTAAATGCATTCAAAGATTTCATCAAACCTTTGAAAATATGTACACATAAACATAAACTGATATTGTACGTATAATGTTCAATTTCATAAAATATCGATATATATTATATGACCTGCAAAATCAAAATGGCGAATGAAAGTGGTTCGTATTTTTTTAATTCATTTTCTTTGCGTTTCAAAATGATTGAGCAATTCTGAAAAATATAATGTTTTCAATATTTAACTATCCATTATAATAAAGGCATAACGATAACATCGCTAAAATTGAACTAGAACAGGAAAACTCTATTGACAAATCATAGAAAAAAACTCAGTTTTGCACAACTGCTTTTTATGGTTATGGACTACCATACATTAATGCCACGGTTAATTATTCTGTGAAGAGAATTCCCTTTATGCAGAAGATTTTAAGTGAATTAAACTTTTGACTATTTTCTATAGGCATATATATCCAGTATGAAGTACATATCTGGACCTCCGACATTCATGGAGCGGGAACCGACTCCGATGTATTCATACAGTTAATTGGTACTGACGCAGAAACAGAAAAAATTGAATTACGTGACAGCAGTAATAATTTCGAACAAGCAAGGGAAGATGAGTTTCTGGTAAAACAATAATACATTTAAATGTGTTTTGTGCCGAAAAGGGCCAAGTACTCCATTTATCATAGATATATTTCGGAAACATCGACAGGTCAAGTTAATTAATTCGTGAATTAATCATCTCCGTAAAATTAAAAACTTTTCATTTAAACATATCGTATAAACTATTGGAGTAAACTCTGATATATATATATATATAAATATATCGGTTTAACAGATGATCATTGTTTCATTATTGAATCTTTATTCTAACTTAGCTTATTGGCACAGAAAATGTTTCACGTCTCATTTGCTTTCAAATACCATAGCCACATTTAGTCTTCTTTTGATCCTCCAGATACATTGTCCTATACGATACCTTTGTCAATTATTCTCTCTCATTTTATCGCTTTTAACGCATAATCGACTTAATATTATTGTGAATTTTACATTATCTGTAGCTTGAAGCTGCTGATCTTGGTGACATCAGGAAAATAAAAATTGGACATGATGGATCTAGTTTTATGTCTGGGTGGCATCTTAATAAGGTATGAAACTGTTACATATAAAGTCAAAAACAAAACATAAAAATGAAAAAGTATAACAAGTGGACGATTAAAAACTATAAACACTTATTGTTGAAAAACAAAGGAGCAAGTGCAAAAGACCAGGTGAGGTAACCATAAAATTTTGTTGTTGAAAAAGTAAGGGTCGATTAGAGTATAATGAGAAATGTTTGGTAAGCATAAGTTATTGATGAAGAAAGGGTCGATAATCTAAAAAGCCTGGCTTTGTTAAACATCACATGTTGCAAAACCAGCCGGGATTGGCAAACATCAGTTGTTGAAAAAGGAAGAGTCGACTATCTAAAACACCAGGTTTAGTGAACATATGTTGTTGATAAAGAAGGGGTCGATTCTAGTGAGCCAGGTTTGGTAAACATAGGTTATTGATAAAGAAAGGATCGATAATCTTTAAACAAAAGACAGGTTTGATAAATACTACTTGTTGAAAAAGAAGATCAAGAGTCTAATGAGCCAAGTTTGGCAAACATCGGAATCTAAAAGCTCGGTTTGGTAAACATATTGATAAAAAAGTATCGAGTCTAGTGAGCCAGGTTTGGTAAACAGATGTTGTTGATAAAGAAAGAATCGATAATCTAAAAAAAAATAAAGGTTTGATGAACATTAGTTGTTGAGAAAAAGTCGAAAGTCTAATGGGCAAACATCGGATCTAAAAAGCTCGGTTTGATAAAAATACATATTGTTGAAAAAGTCGAGAGTCTTAATGAGCCAGATTTGGTTAATATCACTTGATAGAGAGTGTAATGAATAGGTTATGCTTGTATAAAGAGTGATTACTTCAAAGGTTTTCGTATAATCGTATAATGGTATTGAATTGTAAGCAATTTAACTGATCTGCTGAATGTTTTGGTATCCACACCTGATTCACATCATCCTAGAGTATGTGCTTTCACAGTTACTATTAATCCCGTTTAGTATAGAACAGTTGCTTATAATTTGAAAAGAGGATCGATTGATAACTTTGCAGACCACGCTCAATGTCGTTGTTTTTATGACATGTATATATTAAATACTTGTGTATCCAGTTGGTTAAAAGTTCCTGTGATAACTTGTAAAGGATTATGAGACAGATATATGGTTGTTCATGATCTCTGTGGTATGTGTCGAGGTAGTATATATTGGGTTACACAAAGTGAATTGTCAATACCAAATTTTCTATCAAGATATATATATAATGTACTAAACTCACAAAACGATATTGTGTGTGGCTGTTTCTGCGGGGACAAATATACCGAAGAAATAATAATAAAGCCAAAAAAAAAAATCTATTATTGTGAGAAATTAATTATTAACCGATTCATTCGTATAGAAATTGATATCGTTACAAATAAATTTGAAAACAATAAAGTCAGATCAATTCAATTAACATAAAAAAAACTCCTTTGTTTGTTAATTTCAATGACGGTTATTGTTTTCCTTCATTTCTGAATTCTTTTTAAACTGCACTTTTGTCAGGTGCCGCTCTTCATTGTCATTAGTCGTTGTTGTATTCAGGAGTATACAAAATCTTTTTTTGGTTAATTCGCCCATAGTAGACAATTGAATATCATGGCCCTTTGTGAATAAAGAAATCGATGCAGACTAATATTTATATAGCACTACAAGGGCTATAAACCATCGTTGAGATGTTTTTAAAGATAAATTGAAGACCATTTTATATTGGTACGGTTATAATACAGGTACTCATTAAGAGGCGACCAAAAGCTGGAACAAAGAAGCCACAACGCCAAACAACACCAAACTATGGCACAAGCTTATACGATGGAATCGAAACAGATGATTATTGGTTTATCGTCGATCGTTGGTTTGATACATCTGAAGACGACAATAAAATAGAAAGAGAACTGTTTCCAACGGATAAGAAAGGCAATCCGCTTTTTGTTACGGAAGGTAATTAGGTCTTTCCACTTTTCCGTGGAAACCCTATTGGTTTTGTTCTGAGATTTTATTTTTTTCTTCCGCCACATTTTGTTCTTGCGTAGTATTGTGGTTTTGCAAGATGTCGCTTAGATTTTTCGCATATGATATCGAACAGTTATTGCGCTTTTGGAACTGACCCTGTTAAACCGTACACTTTACGTTGTAAGAGTTATCTCCCCGCGAACACTGTTTTTCTTGTGACCACTACTCCTTCGCAACCGTAAAAGATTACGACAAACTTATTTTATCAAAGTGCTTCCTATATCTTCAAGATGATGAGTCGGTTTGCACCAAAGTTCTCCGGAGTCTCCATATGAGAGTTATTTCACCTTATGCATTTGATATAAGTGATATGCATATTCATAAACCGTAAGCCGTATAAACCTAGAGTCGCTTTATTGAAGGTCCTTGGGTCCCAACTTAGAAAATAAGGTCAAGGTCATGTTCTAAATTTTGACATTCACTTCAAACTGCTTTTACTCAGAAAAAAAAATGTGAGCAAAATGTGAGTCGCGACATTATTTATGTCGTGAATATTTGTCGAAACAATACGCGTAGTAATTTGGGGGTTTTCATACCACTGAAATGGAAAAATCAACAAATTGACTAATTATAGCTTCAAACTTTACAGCTCTCATGATGCGTACATGCAATTTATCTTTGTAAATCATCCAATGCCCACAACTACCCATTTAGCCCCCCCCCCCTCCTTTTTTTTTTAAGGAATCTCATTTCTATTTTATTATAAAAATGCTAATCCTTCTTTTTTTTCATGAATAAATTTGTTTCTGAAATACGAAAATACAAATCTATTCCTGCAAAATAAAATATCTGCTCCAAATCATGTACATGTATTTCTGAAAATTAATCGATAAACGTTTTGTTAAAGTACTATAACACCAGCATTGTTTTTGTGTGCATGCACTGAATGAGTCGACCAGTGGTCAGCGATTGGACAATAGTTTACCTGTAAAAAAATCGAAAAAATATATTTTCCGTTAGCAGTATAAATCACGTGCAGTCCGCTTAACGTTCCAATCTGGATTGAGAAATTAAAATCGATTACGTAGAAATCCCTCCAAAGTGCGTAAATAGTAGTAAAATCCTAGAATCAAATGTCTAAACATGCATTAAAATGAAATCTGTGTTCCCGTAAATATGTGTACGAAAAAAGCATGCATGATCAGACTTCAATGACCTGTAAATGAAAGAAAATTAAATCCGGTTGCACATTCTTTATACATAGGTGTGGTCAGAACGACGTCTCTCTCTGCATCTAAATTAAATAAACTATCTTTCTGTGTATATCAATCAGCTTGGTGACGTCACAATCATGTCAACCATCCGGTGCAACGCCTGCTACCTAAAATGAAATAGGGGTTTCCCCCTTTTCGGAAAGAATTAATCACATAGGTTAAATACAAAAGATCCATGCAGGTCAGGTCGGGCCATTTTAAATACAAAATTGAATACAATGCACACACAATTAGATCAATAAGTAAAAAATAAGACACAAATTCCGGGAAGCACTATAAAAAAAAGAACATTTATAAAGAAAGATGCAAGGATATTTTTGAAGGCCTGTTTAAATCCTTACATGTTCCTACAAATATCATAACTTGAATATAACTAAAATGTTGCACGGACCTGTTTTCGTGTGCTCCTAGAGCCTAGGTCTCGAGTGTTTGAACACGGGCACTAGGCTCTTAATGACTTTTTCACGTGTTTCTAGAGGCTAGGTCTCAACTTGAGTGTTTAAAAACGGGCACTAGGCTCTCAATGCTTTTATCACGTGCTCCTAGAGGCTAGGTCTCGAGTGTTTAAACACGGGCACTAGGCTCTCAATGCCTTTATCACGTGTTCCTAGAGGCTATGTCTCAAGTGTTTAAACACGGGCACTAGGCTCTCAATGCCTTTTTCACGTGTTCCTAGAGGCTAGGTCTCAAGTGTTTAAACACGAGCACTAGGCTCTCAATGCATTTTTCACGTGTTCCTAGAGGCTAGATCTCGAGTGTTTAAACACGGGCACTAGGCTCTCAATGCCTTTATCACGTGTTCCTAGAGGCTAGGTCTCGAGTGTTTAAACACGGGCACTAGGCTCTCGATGCCTTTATCACGTGTTCCTAGAGGCTATGTCTCAAGTGTTTAAACACGGGCACTAGGCTCTCAATGCCTTTTTCACGTGTTCCTAGAGGCTAGGTCTCAAGTGTTTAAACACGAGCACTAGGCTCTCAATGCATTTTTCACGTGTTCCTAGAGGCTAGATCTCGAGTGTTTAAACACGGGCACTAGGCTCTCAATGCCTTTATCACGTGTTCCTAGAGGCTAGATCTCGAGTGTTTAAACACGGGCACTAGGCTCTCAATGCCTTTATCACGTGTTCCTAGAGGCTAGGTCTCGAGTGTTTAAACACGGGCACTAGGCTCTCGATGCCTTTATCACGTGTTCCTAGAGGCTATGTCTCAAGTGTTTAAACACGGGCACTAGGCTCTCAATGCCTTTTTCACGTGTTCCTAGAGGCTAGGTCTCAAGTGTTTAAACACGAGCACTAGGCTCTCAATGCCTTTTTCACGTGTTCCTAGAGGCTAGGTCTCGAGTGTTTAAACACGGGCACTAGGCTCTCAATGCCTTTTTCACGTGTTCCGTGTTTAAACACGGGCACTAGACTCTCAATTCCCTTTTTGCGTTGTCCTAGTTGATCGGCCCAATGTGTTTAACCAACCAACCAAACCACCTACCTACCAACCAACCAACCATTACATGCTTGTTGTGGTCCCTTGTGTTTATACAGGTTCAAGATCTCATTTGTTTCGTGTTTGCTTGTTTCAAGCGACCCTATCCTACGTGTGTAATCAATCAATCAATCAATCAATCAATCAATCAATCAATCAATCAATTAAACAATAAATCAATCAATCAATCCATCAATCCATCAATTAATCAATCAATCAATCATGTTTCGGATGGGAAAGACCGTTAACAATTGTTTTTAAAACAATTGATTTATATTTATAATTGTAATTCTCTAAATAAATTTATAAAAATTGACATCGAGATTTTCATCAAGACAACAGGATCATTCAATTATATAAGCAGCCATGATGTAAAGAGCAATTAGTAACATTATTCTAGTATGCATTTCTTTCTTCTTTTTTTTTGGAATTTAAGAAATGACGAGGGACATATCAACACCTTCAACGAAAGACGAAGCGACAACCATCCAATGTAGTCCAAACATTGAAAGTCAAAAGAGTCCACAATATGAATCTACAGAACGAACAAACAATCGAGATGATCCTTTTTATGTGCCATCAGCTTATGATAAGGACCCGAAAGCTGAACTTGAAACTATTAAGCAGTACAGGAAAATACATAAAAATACAATACTACCAGGTAAAACACCGAGTAGAAAAGGAGCAACAGACTCATCATTGACCAATAAAGTCTATTCACCAATTCAAGAGGAGAATACACAAGCAATCTTAGATATCCACACCGAAGACAATCAGTACTATACAAATGATTTTCAGCATAACCCTAGTCCAGAGGTAAGTTTAAGTTGCAAAAGAATAAAAGATCTGCAGTCCACATGACCCTGAAAGCGTTTTGTAATTTATATGGTTAAAACATACAAATAATAACATCATAAGTGTTTCTCGTTTCTCGTTTTTTATATAGATTAGACCGTTGGTTTTCCCGTTTGAATGGTTTTACACTAGTAATTTTTGGGGCCCTTTTTAGCTTACTGTTCGGTGTGAGCCAAGGCTCCGTGTTGAAGACCGTACTGTCACCTATAATGATTTACTTTTATAAATTTTGACTTGGATGGAGAGTTGTCTCATTGGCACTCATACCACATCTTCTTATATCTATTTCAAACTTAATCCCAAGTTAATATTCTGGTACGTGTCAATAAAACAAATCTGTTTTATTTTCAGAAAATTACCTGTGATAATATAGACGTCACAAAAATACGTCACTTTTTGTGGCGTTGATCCATTCATGTGAGGCGCAGTTTATACTTCGTTTGTGGTGTCCTGGTGTGCTGTCGTAAATTTATGGGATGTGTCCGTTGTATTCTGCGGTTTACATGTTGTAATGTACTACTATATTATTCATCTATGTATTTCCCTGTGCTGAGTATTGTTGCGTTTGTTTGTACTGTATTCCTGTCACGTAGTGTTGTCATTTAAGCGGTATTTTTAACATTGCCATATAAGCCGGAGGTTTGGCTAGCCATACCAGGTTCAACCCACCATTTTTCTTCAAATGTCCTGTACCAAGTCAGGAATATGGCAATTGTTATCAAGTAGTCCGTTTCTATGTATGTTGGCGTTTGTTTTTGTTGCAGTTCAGTGTTTCTGTGGTTCCGTTGTTTTCCTTTTATAGTTGATGTGTTTCCCTCGGTTTTAGTTTGTAACCCGGATTTGTTTTCTCTTAATCGATGTATGACTATTGAACAGCGGTATACTACTGTTGCCTTTAATTATGATCAATCATATGATTACGTCATATTTACGGTTGTATAAATCACATCCTTCATATTTGTCCTCAGCAGGAGGAATTGCATTCGAGAAAAGAGTTGTCTTTTAACAGTTACAATGTGCATAAGCAATGATGAATTAATAAATTTATATATGTTTTAACTATGACCCAAATTGTATCGTGAACTCATGCACTGTAAATAATGCAATTGCGTCATCAAAGATTACATTTAAAGGATAACGAGTCTTTTGGAATCTACACTGTGTTCATTGTAATCACACAATCTGCTTTTTCCTTTTGTTTGACTATATGTATATATTTATATACTCGAGCCCAGTCACTTTTAAGGTTTGACAAGTTATTGATGACTGAAAAACTTTAACCTCAGACTTCGCCTGAATGTTAACTATTAAAAAAAACTAAGTCCATTTATCAGTAAAATATGGAATTTTCAAAATTTCGCACTGGATACTGTATTTTGGTCATAAACAATATTCTGTCCAAATTTCATAAAAGTCCATGAAGGTTTGACAAAGTTATTTATGTCTAAAAAAAAACTTTAATCACAGTCTGAACATAGATATTGACGCCGACGCCGGATTCTATGATCATTATGTCTCGCTTTTGCGTCATAAATGTCGCAGGCTCGACAAAAAGAACGTGCGTTCAGGTTAATCGTTGTTATTTTGCAAAAACCTTGAATTAATCCTAGTTTTGTGAATAAATGATTCCCTATTAAATTTACATTTTCCTTTTTCTCACCTGCATTTCATCTGCCCCTTCCTTCTCTTTGTTTCATGTCCATATTATACACTGGCCCTTCATTATTTAACTAAGAGTTGTTGTTATAATCAAAGGTACATTATGTACGCATTTATTTTCCACTTATTGTTCTATGTATATCTGCATCTGCATATTTAATTCTTATGTTTTTATTTCAACTTAGATATCTTCTCCCTCAGAACTATCTTTGTATCTCAGTGGAGAGACTGATGGAGCTGTCGGTTCCATACGGCGGACATTACAGTTGTTTCAATGATGCGACGTATTCTTTACCAAAAAACAAAAAAAATTAAAAAGACGACAAAGAGTAAAATCTCCTTTGTAGATAAAATCGCCGGAACTCCTGGGAAATTGACAAGGATGTAAACTGTATATTCTCAGCCACCCTTGTTTTGTTTACAGTATGTGGTATGTGTAAGTCCGTGATGAATATAATGGATGAAAGTAAGATCAAATGTTAGAAGGATACATAAAAGTCGATTCATTGTTAAGGTACTGTAACAAGGACAGCAATGAACAGCATGAACACAAGGCATATTGATTATTTTAAATGCATTTACCAAACATGTTGCTATACCATATACCGTTCCAAAGCTGATTGTAACAGCCTTCAATTTGGACTCCGTCTTCAAATATGTGTACGGTGCAATTGCTGTCAAACCGACGTTTAAGGGTTCTTTAAATTTTTTTTTAAAGTATCTGTTAAATGTGTATTCTGGAGAGTAAATAATAAAATGATTTATAAAATTTGCAAGATTTCTACAAAAAGATAAAACAGTTCTATTCAAAAGTATTTCAAGATAATCATGACGTACTTTTTAAATAACATTTTTTTTTTTTTCAGAAATAAAGTATTAAGGTAAAATTGATTGTAAGCCAAAATATTTGGAAATATATATAAACAGTTGAATATGACAACTCAGACAATTGCCATAAATACAACCCTTTGATTTTAACCCTTCTTGTAGTTAGTATCAGGTTGAATAAAAAATGCGACAAAACATGTCTCTAAATTGACAAAAAGAATTGTAATTTTGCAAAATAAAAATGTCAAAGGGCAATTTTCATGAATTTCTCTTACACGCATTTGAAACGTGTTCCGAATTATTTTGTTTTACTATTATGTTGTGTCATAGTATAGAAGGGCATTAAATATTGTATGATATCTAAAACATAATATATCGTTGGAATCTTGCAAATAGCAAGTACATGTACAAACATTTCATCATATATCATTGTTATAATACTAATGAAACGAATTTACCAATTTGTCAGGAATACACGTTGGTCAGTGAAGAATGTAGCATAATATTCGTTTGAGCTTTTTTGCAAATGAACTGGTTTGCACTTTTGAAAGCCAAATTCTCGCATAAATAGAATATTCTGTACTTCAGTGTAGTCACGATTTTTAGCATTAAGTATTTAGAAGCAAATACGTGACCTTATGATCATGAAGGACGTCCAGTTTGAAAATTATAACTTTTTTTATTTTTCCAGACCCTTTTGTATTCGTTTAAAAATTGACAAAATCTTTCTTTCTAATGCGGGAACTAACGTTAATGTTAACCAGAATTGTCTTCCTATGCCCAGTTTCATTTTAGACTGGCAGAAATTTCACACATGAACTACCGGGTTCAGTTGCTTTATAACTTATACAAATAAGTTAAAAAATTAACTTGAAAATCTGCCTTTGTGAATAAAAAGATAGGTTAATATGTTTGCATTTTGTATTAGAAATTTTTTTATTCTTTAAAACAACTATTGAATGTTTTCTTTTTTTTCTACATATGTAGTTCTCTTCATCGTATAAAGCGGATCCCATTTTGTAGCAAATATATATGGTCTTTTTACCTACTAAAAAATAGTAAAACAAACATGTGGTAAAATTTTTACCTACTATGCAGTTAAAGAAATGTTTTTGTTGCAAAAACAATTAAAACATCGACTTTTAAAAGATAAGAAGATGTGGTATGAATGCCAATTAGACAACTTCTGACGAGAGACCAAATGAAGTAGAAGTTAGCAACTATAGGTCACCGTTCGGCCTTCAAAACATTAGCAGAACCCATACCACAAAGCAAGTTATAACAAGAGGCCTCGAAACGACAAATGGAAACAATTTAAACGAAAAAACTAACGGCTCGATTAATGTACAAAACAGTAAAGGAAAAACCTGTAAAGTAGATGATGAATAAATTGATGTTCTGACAATTATTTTTTTTAAATCTAATTTATTGTAAAGGCCGTTCATTTTTTCACTGAATGATGGTAATTGGTACATAGTGAGGATTTATTGTATCTTAACAAAGAAGCTACATAGTGCTCCACTACTATATTGCCTCCGAGCTATATCCCAGATAGAGTTATTATCACTCATAGCAATTGGATGTAAAAGACTAAACAGTCTTTTGTGAATTTCTGCAGCAAAAAGAGTACCAACTAGGAGATATACTGCTAGGGTAGCTGTTCTGTTTGGTAACGATTAGGAGTGTTTCAATGTGATTAGATGGAAACTGCAGAGTGAAATCATGTCTTTGATTAGAATATTAATTGTTTCAAGGTCAAAAAATTATCTTGGAAAAACATACATTTGGTATGGTTTGAATGATGTTCTAGGGTTGAATCCATTTGTCTCATGGACTCCACTATAATTCAGGGAGTATAAAGTTCTCCTAGCCAATGTTATTCATTAGTCATCCTCTCATCGGAAGTTGTTGTCTTGAGTTCAAGGTGTGTAGTCTCACCTTTGATTTCTATATAGTTTTCACGAAGTTCACGACTTTTTAATTCATTGTTAAAGTTTCTTATTTTTATTTGGACATATTTTTTATGACCATATTACTCTTCATATGATGTATTTTGAAATCTGTGATCTCCTGTAAAGTGGAATTTTTGGAGACCGTTATCTTTGTATTAAGTTTTCATTTGAACTATGGTCTTAAATGGAAAAATGTTGTAGTTTATATGAAATTTGCGCCATTACAGCTATCATGATGAAATACAAAATAAGATTTTTTTTTCAACGTAAATTGATACCCGACTTTGGGTATAATACCCATGTGTAAACTGTGTCCAACATTTCTTGCATTTCTTTATCATCGTATTAAAGTAAGACAACATCGTCAGCACAGGTTGGGCATCCTACGTAAGCGTTCCCAATCGAGATACCAATACAATGACTATTTCCGGATTTTAAAGTAGTTCATTTATATATTGTTAGTACATATGAGTTGATAAGACTCCACATTGTCCCTACGTCTTGGTCAATTTTAAAGCTGAAGCTTTAATCTCCATGCCAGTTCACAGTAGACGTTATATCATCATACATGTCTTCGATTATGTCCAAGAACTGAATATCTATGCAAAGAAAATTAATTATGTCCAATTAAATTTGATGATTTACCACCTCGAATGCTTTTTGGCTATCAAGGGTTGTTATAATTAATAATTTATTCTTTCCAACATACCTCATAGTATGAGTAAAGCCATATTTGGGAATAGCCCTTCGGTAAATCCGAACTTCATATTTGATTTATTCATTTTATGTTTTCAGACTTTTCTAACAGTACATATTTAAATATTTTGCCATGTATTAATGTAACAGTGGTACCTCTATAATTTTTTGTATGCATGGCATTTTTTTCTTTCTTCAGAACAAGTGTAATTTCTACAGTTTTAAATGATTTTGCCACTCTACCTTCTTTGAATATATGATTTGAAGAATTTGGATAAGCAGTTAGTTCTTCATCTTTAGTATGCTTTATATGCTCTGTTCTTATCACATACTCATTGGCTGTCTTGCCATTCTTTATTTTTGATATGGCTTTCTTTATTTCTGCCTTGCCAACATCAGTTTTTCCTTTTCCTGTCAAACTTTGGGACTTCCTTGATGTATTCATATCTTCTTTGACTATTTTGCATTAATTGGTCAATGAATTTTCTGGATAATTTGGGGTGGCTAATTCTTGAAAATATTCTCAAAATATTTTACTCTGTTCATTTGAGGCTGAAGCTATTTTTTCTTTTTTTCATAGTATATTCTGGTACATATGATTTACATTTGACTATATTTGTTTTATTAGTCGAAAGAATTTTTGTCATTTAGGTTACACTCCAATTTGTCAAACAATTGTTGTCGTTCAACAGCTATATTGTATTGTTTTCTCGGTTGTTGTCTTATGATACGTTTTGTTTCTTTCTTAGCACAAAAAAGGTCCTAGGACGTCCTGCCATATCTAATTCTCTGTGTCTGATTTTGCTGTTTTTATTACTGTCTTACAGTTTGAGTTGCTTTTCTTTTGAAGCCATTAAGTTTGGTGAGCTTTTTGTTGTTCAACAGATGCGTTTGTTTTAAATTTTGATTGATTAAAGTTTTCTATCCACTTTGTCCTACAGCAGTTTGTATGTAGAATTATTTTTCTTCTTCCTATTTTGATGTTTAGTGTCAAATGTGTTGAGGAATTAACTGGACTTTGCTGGAAAACTATTGTTGTTTCAAGAATGTCTTGCTTGAGGTAACATAATCTATTTGAGATGAAGATATCATTAGAATATATGGTTTGATTGTTTTTCATGTCTGTTTGGACAATCATATTGTTTTTCCTTATGATCTGCTTAAATTTTGTATCATTTGAAAATAAGAAGATGTGATATGATTTCTAATGAGAAAACTCTCCACCAGAGAACAAATGACATAGAAGTTAATAACTATAGGTCCCCGTTTGGCTGCTATTCCTATTATTTAAGAATGTATCATTGATATCTCTACACATTAGTACTGAATGTGTTCCTTCTTATTTGTCTACAATTGATTGTTTAGTATCTAGGTGTTCTTGATATTCACAATCTGGGTTCACTTTTTTGTTTGCATGTTGGGACTTCCTAGGCATATTGGTTTATTGGCTGATAAGATTTTAATAGCAATTATTCTCATCATTTAATTTTTTAACAAACTTGCTCCAATCTTTTGGCTTTTTGAAACTCTATCACAACTTCTTGGGATTTAAAAATTGTCTGCCAAACAAATTTGATTTGCTGTAGCGACATAGCCATTTATGTAGTTAGGGTCGTGTTTATGAGTAAGTTGTTGTTCTAGAACTTTCATATTGTTTATTACATGTTGTAATTGACAGATGCAGTTATTGTTAGTTTGACAGTTTGCATTTGTCAAATGATAAAGTGGGTGGCAGTTGCAAGAGTTAAAAGTCGTTTCACTAGTATTTGGAGTCTTTAATATTCTTTAAAGATTTCGGACAGAAGCAATCATTATCTCCATTTATGAGATTGAAATACTAGTACCAGAAAAAAACTGTTAAGTCACAGCTTAACGTTCGACACAAATAATGAGAAGTTATGTTAATTTATTGATATGATAAAGGGACATGAAGTGAGATAAAGTTATAATGCAAAACTTTTAAAACAAGCTAAAGTTTGTTACATTCGTGTGTAGGATTCTTGAAAAACAAAAGTATAAAATCTTTTTGATTCACACCGTATTGAAAATCGTACTATGACCTATAGATGGCTGGTGGTTTTTTTTTTCTCGTGTTACATGTAGAAATGTGCATAACAATTTTGTGCTTTCTTCGTTTCAGTTTTTGATTTTTATACATTTATATAAACCTTTTACACTATCAAATCACCATGTACACTAATTTTCTATAGGGAAACAGTCACATAAATTAACGGCGGAGGACTATAATATATACTATTCTATCCTGATTCTCAATTTTGAAGAAAAATGGCACTGTCAGGAAAAGAAAGAACAATTATTCTGACTAAGTTTGTTTAAAATTCTTGAAAAAAATAATCTGATTTTCCGCGGTAAAAATGTCATTAAACCATAGAAAAAACATACTAACCCCTTTTTATTTTTTGCTGTAATTATATTATTTGACGGTATATAAGTCAGATAATGCATATTTTAAGTTTTTCATGTCGTAATTATAACACATCTATGGGTGCGTTATGATAATAAAAAATTAGCATGATGGAAGGGGTTATCATTCTCTTAAAAACTGGGATATGGTAAAGTGCTAAAGGCTCAAATGATCTCGTGATTGGTTGTATTCAAGAATTCGTTCCATTGTAAATGCAATGTTTATAATGAATGCATGGCATCTTTTTGATGTATTTCATTTATGAATTAGTTTTAGTGATGTAAGGACTTTCTTATAATTTTTGAAATTATGATAAATTGTGTTTTAGACATTAGATGACACAACAGTACGATGAAATAGTAGGAATTGTATAAGTTTCCTAAATATGAATATTTAATCAGGTGTTATTTTAGTGAGGAATTTTCTGTTGTTGATTATTCACATAGTACACTATAAAGTGCTATAAATGAATGACTCTTCATTGCAGATTAATTATTAAAGTGAACTCTTAAAAACTGCACTGGTTTTTTTAAGAACGTTTGTTGGTTAAAAAAAAACTAGAGGCTCACAAGAGCCTGTGTCGCTCACCTGATTCTACTTTGGTTTTGGAAATCATGTAAAAATAGATTAAAATCATAAAAGATACCCTAATAATGATTGAGGCCAAATTTGGTTTAATATTAGCCTCGAAATTCAATCAAAAGCAGAAGACTTTTGTAAAGTTTACAGAAATTACCAATAAATTCATTGAAATTGTAGAAAATTACTTTATAAGGACAATAACTCCAACAAGATGTCAATTGACCATTTTTCTCATGTTGACTTATGTGTAGATCTTCTTTTCTTGATATTTTTGG